GGGGGGGGGGGGGGGGGGGTTGAAAACCCCTATAAAGTCGTGAGTAACCCGACAATTGAAATTGCCTGCCTCTCTATCTCTCGAGTCTCGACATTTCGTCCCTGCTGGGACGGGCTGGGACGGGCTGGGACGGTTCTATGACCGATAGCCGCCCTTTCGACCTGCCGAGCATTCCGGAGGAAACACCCACTGTCTGGCGCTTAAGGTGTTGTCCCTTCTCAGCCCTTCTCCCACGCATGACAAAAAACATATGAGATCAGCTTCTTCCGCCTTCGTCACATTCCCTATTCGCTAAATGTATCTGACTGCAATTACGCCCGGACGAGGATGCATCTTGCCTTAGGCCCTTAGTCACACTCGCGGTTTGCTAAATGTATCTGACAAAAACATTACATGAACGTGCACACCTCCCTCGCTGTTTTTTAGTTCTTTCTCATTAAAAAAAAATAAAATCAATTATGTTTTTGCAAATTGCAATCAGTTAGTATGGTCTCCACTCTATGAATTGCTGGCAAGTTTGGTTAGGCCACCAGTACTTGGCCCAGCTATTGATGCCGAGCCTGGAATGCCCCTGCGCGCCACTTTTCATCGAAGCGCCGGGGTACCGTTTTAAAACTTTTTTTGGCTGGCGCTTCCAGCCATTTTGGTTCGGGGTATGGTCCAGTACCCCGAAGCCCTAAATGCGCGGCACGTCAACGGGAAAGCGCCGCAGCCGATAGCTCGGCCAAGTACTGGTGGTTTAAAATGACTCTTAGGCTTAAATTTGTTATAAATGGTCATCTCTAATAAATGACAAGTTGTCTGAAAATTTGGGCCTCCGTTCACCATGTCTCAGTGTGAATACGCCATCCCCCTTTTCTTTTCTTTTCTTTTTCCCTTTTTTCACTTATTTCTCAGTAACAGCCCGTGTATTGCTTGCTCGTAGTCTTTCAGCTCTGTGTGAGATAACCATAACCATAACCATAACCATAACCATAACCGTCTCAGCCTAAGCCGTTATCAGTGATTGTGCTCCGTGTAGGGCTTTCGTAGAGATGACCGTGAGTCTCGTCCGTTTTATCCAAGTACAGAACAGAAATGATAGTAGGTCGTTGCGACTCGTCGGTTTTATCCGAGTACAGAGCAGAAATGACAATATTATAATATGATAAGTATCATTATAAGTTACACTGGTTACAGCTTTCCAAAAACAGGAAACTTGACAATCTTTCACCAAAAGCTACACTGTTACAGCTTTCCAAAAAAGGAAACTTGACGATCTTTCACCAAAAACATTAGTCACGCTAGTAGGCCGTCACATTCACAAAATCACAAAATGAGCAGCCAGATGAAGTCCTTGTAAAGGGCGGGCAAGATATGGCCGCTCATGTTGGGATTTTGCGATTTTGAGGGCCTAGCGTGTAGTGTGAGTCTGCCCCCTTTGCCGGACCTCTGCTTGGACAGTTCCAAACCACCCGGATTGACATTCTCCTCCCCCCCCCAATGCAATCCCATCTCCCACCGAAAAGGAAGAAAAGACATCGCTATTATTATCACCTTAAGTTTATTATTTCCTCTGATTTAACCATCTATTTCGAGATGATCCGCAGCCAAAAGAATTTCCTTTTTTTTTTTTTTTTTTTAATAATATTGCTCCAATCTATTTGTAGGGAGCATCACATGCTGGGAACTGGGCCCAGCGTCCCTATTTGTAGGGAGCATCACGTGCTGGGAACCGGGCCCAGCGTCCCTTACAATTCAATACATTGATGATTGACAATCGATGAAAATTTGGGATGATTGAGGATCATTTTGGATGATTTAGGATGTCAGAGTGGGTGATTGACGTCATGAAATAGAGGTAGATGATGACTAATCAGAAAGATTGTCTACTCAGCACTGAATTACTATCCTATCCCTAATTTCCTGTATCCATTCCAAACAACCAATCACAATTGAGCCCCTGCTGTGCACCAATCAGGCCTCTTCCCAGTCTCACACCCCAATCTGGCTCGGTTACAGGGCAGCGCTACCCACCCCAATCTGGCTCGGTTACAGGGCAGCGCTACCCTATATTGCAATGGCGATTAAGTTGTGGCATGCCATATCTCCATTCACTCCGACAAAACAGTTTGTCACAGCCCATCATTCCTTGTCCTCTTCTCCCTCTCCGCCGACGGGTTTACCAGGCAGTTCGATTTGATTTTGGTTAAGGTAGATTTATCATTTACAGTGTAATCAGTGAGGGGATCCTGCAGACTGTGGAGGGTTCAGCCTCCTGATGAGTCGGTGAAACTCCGACGAAACAGTTTGTCACAGCC